CCAATAGGAAAAGGGGAACAGGTACTAGAGAAAAGGTTAGATCAAAAAGAATTAACCTAGAAGGTAACACCCACGCACAGGAAATCAATGTGAGTCAATGCCCTGTATAGCTATCCTTATCTCAACCAGCAAAAACCCTTGTTCCTTCCTATTATTGCTTATACTCTCTCTACAACAAAATTAGAAATAAGGGCAAAATAGTTTTTGCTGGGTATTGAGGGGGGGAGAGGGAGAGGGCGGAGTGGGTGGTAAGGGAGGGGGTGGGGGCAGGGGGGAGAAATGAACCAAGCCTTGTATGCACATATGAATAATAAAAGAAAAATGAAAAAAAAAAAAAAGAAAAACCACAGGTGAATATAATTAAATAAATTAACAAAAGGTTTGTCAAGTTTATAATTTAATACCAGATTTACCAGAGAAAGTGTGTCATTCCTCTCTTTTGCTCAGCTCTGCCAAGTATTACCATCCTTCAAAGTAACATCTCCATTATCAGAAGTTGTTCCTTATTCTGCCCACCACTTTTCTTCCCTTACAGGACATGTTTAAAATTATTAAATCCTCAGTGCATATTTCTATAGATTTCATATTGTCAGTCAGTCCTTTCCTATTGATTGAAGGTAGAGTTTTTCTGTTTTCTCTATAACGCAAGTACAAGTACCACATAGCATACTATACCTCAGGAAGATTCATCTAATATGTGGAACCACTGAAGGAATTCAAATCAAAATTGGTTAATAATTATTAAATATCTTATCTTTTCAAGGTACTGCAGGGACATGAGATGAATAAGTTGTACTTAAGGAGAAAGGGCAAGTATACAACCTTTCAGATTATAAACAAGAGGAAGATGGATGGTAAGAGACATACTAAGTTCTCTGATGTTATAAGGATAGAAGAATCAGGAATTCTATTTGAAAGAGGAATTCTGAGATGGCCTTGAATAAGAAGTAGGAATTCCACTTGTAAAAGTGAAGGTATAGGAAACACAATTACCAAACACAGGTAAAATAGACAATATAGGGGATATTCACATGACAGCAAAATTTTCCAGATTTGCTGAAATGTAATGTATCAGTAGTGAAGGAGTAAAGCAACATCATGGAAAATGTATGGGATATCTGTTTAAAATCCTTGAGTTCCTCAATAACAACGTCATACCTAATTTGGCAGGTTTGTTGTGGAACCACTGAAAAGTTTTGAATACAAAATAATATAATTTGGACTTTCCTATGGAAATCTGTTCTTGCAGTGGAGTTTGGATGACCCTAAAATGGGAGGAGATCAGAAAGCCAAAGAGGAAGTTAAAAAAGAAATATTACTTTAAAAAACAAAACCAGTGAGAAATACCACATAACAGCCACTAGAAGGGCTATAGGGGGTGGGGGGGTGGGGGGATGATCCAAAGGAAAGAAGTATTACGCATATCACAGCATGAGTAAACCCTAAACCATTACACTAAACAAGAGAAGCTAGACACAGAAGGACAAGTACGGTGTGGTTCCAGAATAGGTAAATCAATAAAGTCAGAAGCCAGATTAGTGGTTGCCAGGGGCAGGAGAGAGGGAGGAATTACAATACATGAAGTTTCTTTTGGGTGGATGCAAATGTTCTGCAACTAAAGTGACCGTGGCTATGTAACATTGTAAGTAGAATTAAGAAAAACACTACATTTTTTACTTTAAAATGGTTAAAATGATGAACTTCATGTTCAGTGGATTTTATCTTAATTTTTAAAAAAACAGAATAACAACAAAAAAGAAGTAAGGAAATGACCTACAATGGAAAAAATGAATAAAAAAGACAAATGGGTGAAATGTTAAAGAATAACAATCTATACATTTTTATAAGCATTGTATTTTATCAAGGTTAAGATGCCATCGATTGTCAAATATAGCTTAATTTTATGTCCCACTAAGAAAAGTGCTGACAATTAAATTATAACATGCCACCAATGATAAGAAGCAACTGATTTCAGACTTTAACCTGTAAAGAAAAGTGCTTCTGACCTCCTTTCTCCACCTAAAATACTTCTTAGCGGCCCTTTGATATGTAGAGGGGGGAAAAGACCATCATTGCTTTCAAAGAAACTTGTCAAAATGCTGCATGGAAGGAAAGACAGAAAGAAGGCAGATGCCAAGCACACGCTAAGATACTTAAGTGTGCTAAGACCTGTTGCATTTACGAAGTTAATACTAATTTTTCCAGCATTTATCAAGCATCTAGTAGCTTTCAAGACTCTGAAGTACACTGGGGAAGATGTGAAATATAAATAAAATGCAATCTCTACAGTCAAGGAAGTTAAAGAGGGGAAGGGGATTGTCAAAAAAGGACAAATAATAGAACATGAAATCTATTTCCATTCATATGGTACTCTATGTGAGCCTGAAAAGCATTGCAAGCATGACTGTTGTGGGGACTCAAAGATGGAAAAGAGCATACCCAAATAGGATAGAACTTCTAACACAAACTTGCTAATACACCTGAGGTATCTTGAGGTTTAGTAGGCAGAGAGGGCCACAGTGGAGGTTCCAATCTAGTCAAGTAAGGAATGAATGAATAAAATCTTGGGGTGGGAGGAAGGCATAGAAGCACTGAAGAAAGTCTCCTTTGGGTGAAAGCAATAATACAAATAAGGAAACATAGAAAGTAAGGTTCAAAATATTATTTAGAATGTAAATAAATGTTCTTGAATGCCAGGATGACCTTTGTATTTACATAAGTAGGAATAAGAGAGTTTTTGGTGGTTTCAAACTAGGAAAATGATTTGATAAAAACTATTAATAATACTAATCTGCTAGCATTTTGAAACACACTAGGTCAGGGGAGCTTGAAAATAGGAAACTCAGTGGGAAAGCTACTGTGATCATGTAAACAAGAAATAATAAGACATGTGTGTACAGTCTAGTAATAATGAGAAGAAGGAAATGAAAGGCCCATGGCAGGCAGAATACACAGACCTTGTCAACAATATAGAAAGTATGGTCAAAGTTAGGTTTAGAGCTATAAGAAAAAGAACAAAGATGCCAGTGTCAAAATAGAGTAATCAAAGAAAGGAACTATTTTGAAGTTGTGCAAAAGATAATAATTTGTTTTGTCAAAGATGTTTATGTCAAAGTCTGAACCAGAGTCTAAAGTTCATACTTTCAAGACTGTGGAGTGGCTCAAATGGTAGAATGCCTGCCTAGCAAATGTGAGCCCCTCAGTTCAAACCCTAGTACCGCCCAAAAAAGAAAAAAATCACAATAAAATTCAGACTTTCTTCAAAGTAGAAAAATATAATGGAAACCAAGAATAACGGCTAGAAAAAAATTAAAGTTTCAGAGGAATTGTCTAAAAGATTATAGGGGGACGTTCATTTTTGTTTTTTGTCTTATGAAAACACTAACAATTTTCAAAACACAATATCAGTTTTACATGGAACCCAATGAGTTAAGGAATGAGATATGGGTAGTAAGAAATTGGAGGCAAAAAATGTAAGTTATACTTTCAAAAAACTTAATAGAACAACTTTATTCAGTAATAAAGTATTAAAGTCTGGAGGAAATAGTGGGATACTATGGAACCATGAAAAGAAATAACCTAAAGAAAACATACTGACAGGAAAATATGGTAAAAATATGTTAAACTTTTTAAAACACACAGAGTACAGAACATTTGCGTACATCTAATATCAAACTTTGAAATATGTAAAGCAGTTAAGAGGAGTACTATGAGAAATGAACAAATGCATAACTGTAATTTTTAACCATCTCATTAGTTAACAGAATAAGTATGCTTGATTCCATACATCACTAGTGCTTATCCTCAATAATCAGAAAAATACATATTACAAACAAAATTACATACACTTACACACTACCACAGTAGAGCAATTCTAAGCATTGGTGAGGACGTGTGACAATGAGAATTCTCATACACTGCTGCTCCTAAGTTCGGACACTTTGTAAATCTCTTTGGCCTTAAAGATCCAGCAATTTCATCATTAGTCAAAACAGTTATCAACCAGTGGAAGACACTACATTTCTCACAAATACATGGGGGACTCAGCAGAGCTTTGGCCCACAGTCCCAATGGTCACAGCCCCACAAGGTCAGGTAGGCAATGGCCTTGGTCCATGGGTGTTCCAGGAACTCCTGTGTTCTAGAGGGCAGTCAGAGACACAGAAGGACTGAAGGCTGTTTGATGGGTTCAAATATCAGGTTGTCAGCAGTGACTGAACAGTGCTCTCCAAGATTGAAAAGAGTTGAAGAGGACTTTGAGAGTTTGAGACAGTGAATTTTTAGCAACCTGAACAACAATATTTCAATATTTTAATAGTTGGCATCACCTTGCTAATATGTACTGGCTGAATTTCAATCCTGACCTTTCCCTAAGGAAATTGGAGTACATGTGCAATAGGATACATGAAAAGAACTTTTATGCAACCACTGATTCATCATAAGAAAAAACAATTAGCAAAACAGAAAACTGATGAATAAATTATGGTCAAGTCATACGTAGAATATTCAGCAATAATGAAAATAAACTACAACTAAGGGCAAGGTGAATGAATCTCACAGTTGAGAAGAAAAATCACATGAAAGAATACACGTGCTATGATTCTATTCATATAAAGTCTTTACTAGGTGAAAGGAAAGTATTGTAAAGGAAAGCAGAAATACATAGTAAGATCACAAAATATGCAAGGAATGATTATCAAGGTTGTAAAAAGTAGGGACAGATAAGCGGGAAGTTCTAGAGCAATGGAAATACCTTTTACTTAATAATTATTTGTAACTCATCCTTATATGTTTAGTGCACTTTTCTCTTTTATGTTTTGCAATTTAAAAAAAAGTCCTGGAGCTGCTGGCTGAGAGCAATGAATTTGCTGATTAAATATGAAGCACAAATGACGTAATGAAAGTTGGAGCAACAAAAAAGAAAGTGATCGGATAATAAGACAGCAGGAATGCTATTTATTCAAAGCTTTCTCAGTGCAGGGACACAGAGCATTCTGTGTAGAGGTGGAAAGCTTCTTAAGTCAGAAAGAAATTCCCAGGGAACGCTTCCCAAAGAAAAATGGGCACCACGGGAAAAGTAAGTAAGCAGCCTCTTTCTTTGTTAGTTTGTGCTTTTTCCTCTCTTTGAACACTTGCTATAAGATTACTTTCAGAGCACAGCAATTTAAAATTGATTAAAAGGATTTGAGTAAGTCCCTATGCTAAGAATTTTTTCTAAGGTAGTAACTGTGGATTTGTCAAAGTGTTTACTAAAAGAATACTCAAATAAATATTATTTAAATGGCAAAAACAGAGATTTGAGTAGCCATAGAATAGAATATGTATTTACAATATATGGATTGGTAGAACAAAGGAGATTACAAAATACTACACATGATCCCATTTGGGGAGACTCACAGGATTTACATCAAAAACATAAAGTGAGTAATAAAACTATAAATTTTTCCTACTTGCATTTTAAAACTTACCGTAATTAATCTATATTTTATAATGAATATATATTATTTAATATATTTTCATAATAAGAGTATTGATATTTTAAAATATAATTCAAAATTGCTAAGAACTATTGAAAAATAGGTAGTCAAATGATCAAAGACCGGGAAATCATTCCAAAAGTTGAAATAGCAGTTAGAATGGAGGATTACAGGTTTGTTTCTTTCCACTTTCTTTAAGTGTTAACTTATATTTGAAATTAAAAATATAATTTGAAGATAGAAAAAAATTTAATAAGATTATAGAATCCTAAATGCTTAATTTCTTTTCATGCATTTTTACCCAAATTCTTGTAAAGAAACCAAATTTTTATTCAATTTATATTCTACAAACATATTCAGTAATTATGTTAGCTTTACTTCTCAGACTTTTGATGAATCACCTGGAGATCCTATTTAAATTTAGATTTCATTTTAGTGGATTTGGATCAAGGCTTTCTTCTCTAATACTTCCTAAGTGGAATGAGTAACTGCTGGTCTGAAGACCACACGTCCAGTAGCAAACGTTCTGAAACGCACCTGTGCTCTGACAACTGGTTCTCAGTAATTCAAAGCTGATTGCAAACAGTTCATTCAGTAAATATTTTTTGACCATCTACTAAACCCTTTAAAATATATAAATATATCTTCTTTGTTATAGAGGGAAAAATCAAAGCATTGTATCAGGGTAAGCTTTAATGCACCTGTTTGTTCAAAAAATAAAAAATGTAATGACTACAATGTAGAATTTAACTATGTTCAAAGTAAGATCCCTTGTCTTAAAAAATATATAATTGAGATTAAGCCATTAAAATTTATATAGTTATATATAACAATCAGCCATAAACTCCTTAACTGTTTATCATTAAATTATGGCATTAACTTTTTCCCATGATATCCTCTTCCTCCCCTCTCTCCCTCTCCCTCCCTCCTTTTCCCTTCCTCTCTCACTCTTTACCCCCTTTCTTTCTCAGGTTATTAAGTGCAAAGCAGCCATTGCCTGGGAAGTAAACAAGCCCCTTTGCATTGAAGAAGTTGAAGTAGCTCCTCCCAAGGCTCATGAAGTTCGAATTCAGGTGAGTAGGGACTTTCCATGGTGGACACAGAACAGACCCAACAAGTAGACAATTTCTATCAGTTCACTCCAACCCTAAGAATCAGCAAAGAAACTCATTTTTGGTTAGAATTAGGTTTTCTTTTTGTTTTTCAATTACTAATTATTAGAAATTGTTATGAAAGGAAAAGTAGAGAATCAGGACCAAAATAAGGGAGAGAGAAAATGTGGATAGTTACCCCGGGCAACGTAAGGGTCCTGGTGCCCAAGAGAAGGACAGGACTAGGTCAATGAGAAGAGGCGGTATTTCGGTATGAAGTAGAACAGTATCACAGACAGCAAGGTTGGATAAGTTCTCCATTTTTGCTAAAGACCAACACATTACAGATTTATACATAAAAATGAATGGGACAGCTTTACGAGAAGATACTGAAGAAAAATTCAGGGATATACTGACAATTTACACAATATTGTTCTTTCAACTATAAAAGGTTTATTATTTCAACTTCATTTCATGTAGTCTCAACAAAATTTGAACAAGTCATAGAAACCTGTTTTCTTTCTGCCTGGTAGACTTTCACTTGTCCTATTAGCTTTGAGTTTTCCTCTCCTGGAGACAGTGATTGCCAATTCTATCTCTTTTTTTATGATTTTTTCCAACAAAAATGAATGTTAGAAAACAAAAGCTCCTACCATATTTTTATTCTTTTCTCAAAATGTAATTCTTTTATTGAGTTCTAGGAGCGTTGTAATATTTCAAGATGACATGTGACCAAAAATTATGTAAAACATCCCTTCCAATAATACCATTGCAGAAACACAACTCAAGTCTTTGATTGCTTTGTAGGTAGTTGCCACCTCTGTATGCCATACTGATGCCTACACCATCAATCCTAAATTTAAGGAAGCTCTTTTCCCAGTGATCCTTGGCCATGAATGTGCAGGAATTGTGGAAAGTATTGGGCCAGGAGTGAACAATGTCAAACCAGGTATTTTACTTTGTGATACTAGTTAAATAAGCATCAGGCTCTTTCAATGATAATTCCTGATACTGTCCTTGCTTTGCATACTATAACGGACATCTGTTTATATAGGAGGAGCATATGTCACAAAGCAAAACTGAGACATACAATCTATCACAATCTAGTAAGGAGACAGGATATTTGAAATCAGAACTATCTAATGAAATCTGGGAAATATGGCTACTTTATTTACATACAATGCTAAGAAATTGTCCAGTAAAGTAAAATTACAAAGTTTATTTAAATTGAATCTTCCATGGTTCATAAATGATACTTTATTACAACAACTTTCTCTACATAAAATGGGGACCAATTTAACATTATACAAAAATGAGAGCTTATAGGAGGCTTAAGGAAAAACTTTAATACATATGTCAATGTTAGGTTAAGGGTCTTTTTGGACATTTGTAAAATAAAAAATAATACCGAAATAAAGCATACCATTGGCTGAAAATACTTATTTCCATAATACTAGAACATGGGCTATGTCAGACAGGATGGACAATATCAGTCTTTCCTCCTTTAATGAGAATTTTTATTTATACATGTGTGTGTGCACACACGCACACGTGATACTTGAAGGAATCCACAATCTTGCATTTTAATGAAATAAAATATTTTAGCTACCTATACTTTTTCTTAAATATGTAAAAGTGGTGTTTCTTTCTATGTTTTGGGGGAGGATCCCTAGAGAATAAACCCAAGGCCTTGCAGATGGTAGATAAGCACTATACCACTGAGCCATATTCCCAGCCCTGCTGCTAGAAACTTACTAACAATATCTTATGCACCATCCAACATATGGCCTTTTTTTCTAGGTGACAAGGTAATTCCATTCTTTGCACCTCAATGTAAAAAATGCAAGTTCTGTCTGAGTCCACACACAAATCTTTGTGGAAAAATCCGGTAAGCTCTATACACTGTTAATCAGAGTATAAACTGGCACAAATATTTTAGGCAGCACATTAGCCACACACGAATAGAGTTGAGCAGGGGCAAATGTTCTTCACAGTAATTTTACTTTTAGGTGTGTACAAGACACTGTTCCAAATACACACAGAGACACATGCTAAAATCCTCATTACAACATTGTTTACAATTGCAAACATTTGAAAAACAGCAAGAATGTACTTTGACCATAGAAAGAATTAATGAATTGCTATATAGTAACACAATAGAATACCATACAACAGTGAAAATCGCTAAACTTGAAATACAATAATCTCACATACAAAATATTTTTCACATACATAGGGTTAGCAAAAAGAAGCAAATTAATGAAGGATATGTTTAGTAGAGTGCCATATATGAAAACAATATTGTTTTGTCATATGTGTATGGAGTAGAAGTAGAAATATATCACTGGAAAGATAAATGCCAAATCCAGGATAGTATCTACTGCTACAGAAATCAAAGAAAATGCACTAAAATGTAGTAAAAGTAATTTACTACAGAGCCACAAGCCATAAGTCTTGAAGCCAGGTTTTAACTGTAGGCTCAAGAGTATAAATCTTAATCACTTTTTTAAAATTTTACTGAGACTCTAGAAAGCTCTAATTCCTAACTGAAGCTAGTTATTTAAGAAGTTAAAACTATACTTTTAGTATAGTGGTGTGAATACCTATAATCCCAGCTACTGTAAAGGTGGAGGCAAGAAGATCTCAAGTTTTAAGCCAGCCTGGACAAAGTTAGTGAGACCCTATCTCAAAAAAAAGAAAAACAAAAGGGTTGGGGGAATAGCTTAAGTGGTAGAGTGATAACTTAGCAATTTCCTCATTTATAAAATAGGGTAAGATTATTGTAGAGATTCAAAGAATTAAAATTATGCTCTTTTGTAACTCTAATGAAATAATGGATTGGACAATGACCATAAATACTAATGTCACCAAAAGAGAGATGATCAGGTACTGTGTCCCTCCAGATGAAATGCATCACACCACCCACTTTTGAAGAATTCTCCCTAAAACACAAAATTTGAATCAGATCAAGTGTTTAGATCAAAAATACTAATTTAGGAGGAAAAACAGTGACAGAGGAATATGTTAAAACACTTTCAGGAATGAAATCAGCAAAATCCACCAGAAGGAAAACCCTATAGGACAAATAACTCTGTTTCTTAAACAAGCAAATTGCAAAAGAGGGAAGAATCTACAAACTAAAGGCCACTACAATTCAATATGCACCTAAGAGAATCTTTTGTATATACTGAAATATTTTAATGTAGACATCAACGTAGTGAGGCCTGGAATTTGCATTAAAATAGTCCAACGCAGTGGGAGAGATATGGACTGTGGCAGTAAGGGATGAAAGTACAACACCAATGGGTTGATAGGTACTAAAGCTGAGAATCGGCACATAGAGATTCATTATTCTCTTCTATTTTTATATCTGTTTGAATTTTCTATGCTAAAAAAGTTTTAGTACAGAAAGGGGTGGAGCTATGGGGAAAAAAATTTATGACTTAATACACATGAAGCCCTTAAAAGGGTTTTTGGCACACAAAAAGCACCCATAAAAGTTTGCTACTATTATCTTTAAAATTGTTTTAATGTGAAATGTATCATGTTGTTTTCTCAATTTTTGCATATTAATTCCTTAAAATTTATTATGACAAACATAAATTTAATAGGAATGTGATGAGTGTCCCATTTTCTTTCTCCTTCTTTGTATCTCTCTCATTTAATTTTCTAGTAATTTTAAAACTCCTAATATTGATCAAGAAGTAATGGAAGATAAAACCAGCAGATTTACCTGCAGGGGGAAACCAGTTTACCATTTCATGGGTGTCAGTTCATTCTCTCAGTACACTGTGGTGTCCGATGTCAATGTTGCCAAAATAGATGATGATGCAAATTTAGAGAGAGTTTGTCTGATTGGATGTGGATTTTCATCTGGCTATGGGGCTGCAATCAACACTGCCAAGGTAAATTGTTAAACACTAACTTGCTTACAAACAGGTTTCTGGGGGGTGATGTAAAGGAGATGGTATTGATTATCTTCAAACTCTAACTATGTCGTTTATTGCTTCTGTGAATTTAACCAAGTTATTATTTGGGGGGGGGTTAAACAAACTGGCAACATTACAAGGAAGAGCCCTCAACCTCCCTCAGACTGACTCCACTTAGATATTAGTCCTTCTTAAGGGATATTAAAACTAGAGATTCAGCTGGGCACCAGTGGCTCACATGTATAATTCTAGCTACTTGGGAGGCTGAGATCAGGACAATTGAAGTTTGAAGCCAGCCAAGGCAAGTAGTTTGTGAGACTCCATCTCCAAAATAGCCAGAGCAAAATGGACTGAAGTGTGGCTCAAGTGGTTGAGTGCCTGCTTTGAATGTGTAAAGCTCTAAGTTCAAAATACAGGGTCACCAAAAACCTAAAGATTCATCTCTCTTCTCTCTTCCTCCCTTCTTCCTTCCCTCCCTCCCTCTCTTTCCACTTTCTCTCCAGTGCTGGGGCTCAAAGCTAGGGCTTTGCTTATGATAGGCAACTATTCTACCACTGTTATATCTCCAGGCCTCTATTTTTAATTATTTAAATGATTTAGTTTTAGCCAGGGGTGGTGCCTTACACTGTAATCCTAGCTATTTGGGAGGCTGAAATTGGTAGAATCACAGTTCAAGGCCAGCCTTGGCAAATAGTTTTATGAGGCCTCATCTCCAAAATAACCAGAGCAAACTGGAGTGGAGGTGTAACTCAAGTGCTAGAGCACCTGCTTTGCAAGTATAAATCCCTGAGTTCAAAATCCCAGTCCCACCAGAAAAAGAAAAAGAAAAAAATTAATTTTAATTGATGGAAGTTAATATACAGGATACAATGTGATGTTCTAATACATCGTGTAATACATTGTGGAATGATTAAATCAACTAACATTTCAATCAACTACATAATTATCTTTTTTGTGATGAAATATTTAAAAGCTACTCTTAGCAATTTTTAAATATACACTATTATTTACTACAGTCATCATTTTGTACAATAGGTTTCCTTATATCTCTTTTTGTCTTTTTTTTTTTTTTTTTGGTAGTACTGGGGTTTGAACTCAGGGTCTTTGAACTCAGAACCAGGCAGGCACTCTACCACTTGAGCCACACCCCCAGCCCTTTTTGCTTTTAGTTACTTTTTTTATTAATATTATTTATTTTTTTAGCTGTACTGGGGTTTGAACTCAGGGCTTCATGCTTGCTAGACAAGGTGCTCTTACCACTTGAGCCATTCCGTCAAACCCCTTTATATGGCTTTTTTGTAACAGCACCTTATTGAGTATATGATTTGCAAATATATTTTCCTATTCTGTGGGATGTCTCTTGACTCTGATGGTTGTTTCCTTGGCTTGGCAGTTTTATTTTACCTTGATGTAATCCCATTTGTCTATTTTTGCTTTTATTTCCTGCACTTTTTCGTCATGTCCAAGAAATCATTGCCCAGTCCACTGTTATGAAGATTTTCCTCAATATTTACTTCTAGTCATTTTACAATTTTAGGTGTTAGATTTAAGTCTTTAACCCATTTTGAGTTAATTTTTGTATGTGGTGTGCGTAAAGGGGGTCTAATTTTATTCTTCTGTGTGTGAAAATCAGTTTTCCAAGCACCAATTACCAAATAGACTGCCCTTTTCCTGCTGCATAAATTAAAGCACTCTGTTCCATACTAATTTTGTTTCCAATTTAGATGTTAATATGTCAGATTTTCTCTTTACCTTTCGCTTATGTTTTAATCCTAAATTTCCCATCCTCATCAGAAAATACTAATTAAGCATCTCTCTATATACTACTTCTAAAGAATTTATCCTAGTAACAGCATCTTTCTTTACTATCTGGTATATTGTTTGCATTTAATTCAACGTAACAAGCATTTATTAAATACTCAACATACAGAAGCCTCCTTGATAAAAATGTTAAAAAAAAAAAAAAAACTCACTTCCTTCAAAACATGTAGTCTTTTAAAAAACAGAAAAAAACACAATCAATTATAGAAGCTTATAGATTCTATGATATGGAAAAAACTAGAAGATAGGCACTGATTTCAGATTGAAAAAACAAGGTTTTCATTTTGTTTTGGTTTTTGTTTTTTTGCAGTTCTGGGGTTTGGACTGCCTTGCTAGGCAGGCGCTTTACCACATGAGCCACTTCACAAACCCTTTTTGTGTTGGGTATTTTTGAGATAGGATGTCAACAACTGTTAGCCCAGGCTGGCTTCCAACTGAAATCTTCCTGATCTCTGCCTCCCAAGTAGCTAGGATTACAGGTGTGAGTCACCAGTGCCCAACATAAAAAAAAAGTTTCATGGAGAAAATGTCCCTTAGATCAGGCCTAGACATATAGGTTATATTTTAACTGAAGGAAATAAGATGAAAAGTACATCAGTCTAAGGGGACACTAGAAATTAAGGTATGAAAAGAAGAAAATGCAACAGTTTGTATGGCTGTTGTACTAGGAATATCATGGAGATAAAACTGGAAGGTAAACAGAGGTCAGATAGCAAAAATTCTTCAATGTCATGCAGACATTTGGATTTCATTCTATTTAAATGAATTAATAATCTGAAATGATCAAGTGAGTCAAATTCACAGAGAAATGTTAGTGGCTATTTAAAACCAACTGTAATGCTAATACAACAAAATAAGGTCTATTAGAAATACAGATATCAAATTATCTATGATCCAATTTTAAAATAAAAAAAACAACTTCATTAGAATGTGTGGGCATTTTTATTTTGTTCTGACAACAATGAAGGAAAAAGTAAAACAAGGAATTATTTTCACTTGAGTTGCTCTTATGGACTGATCGTCTTTTTTTTTCTTTATTCATACATTTATATGTGCATACATTGTTTGGGTCATTCCTTAAGTCCTTCTCCAAATTTAAGTAGTAACATATCCATTTTCTCCATTGGATATATCATATAGTTTTGTAATAGGCAGTCTTTTATTTATATGTGTGAGGCCTCATCTTACCCTCCCCCATAAAAAAGAAAAAAGTAAGACCAGCTACTTTTAAAGTTGCTCTATAATTTTCTGTCTACAGGTCACCCCTGGTTCTACTTGTGCTATCTTTGGCCTAGGAGGGGTAGGTCTCTCTGCTGTAATTGGCTGTAAAATAGCAGGAGCTTCCAGAATCATAGGTATTGACATCAACAGTGAGAAGTTTACAAAGGCCAAAGCACTGGGAGCCACTGACTGTCTTAACCCTCAAGACCTAGATAAACCCATCCAGGAAGTAATTGTTGAATTAACCAGTGGAGGTGTGGATTTTGCCCTTGAATGTGCAGGTGGATATGAATCCATGGTATGTACAGTTTTTTTCTTGGATCTTATGTTCAGTTTATTCCTTAATCATCAAATAATAGATGAAGATGAGTTCATTACAGTAGATACAATTATTCCTTTTTTAACATTTCAAAGTTAGTGATAGAAGTAAAACTCAGCTATAAATCATTTGCCACTTCCTCAGCTATACTGTATTTCCTTCAATGTCCACTGATATTTCCTCCAGTATTAGTCTTTTTTCTGTTACTATAAGGAAATACCTGAGACTGAGTAACTGTAAAGAAAAAGTTTATGTACAGTTTTGGAGGCCAAAGTCCCAATCTGCATCACCTCATGGCAAATAACATTGTGGTACTTGAGAGAGAGAAATTGTATGGCAAGACAGAAAGCAGGGGTTAAGGGGGTAGTAACAATCATGCAGTAGGCCCCACCTCTGAAAGATCCCAGCAGCTCTCGACATTGACACACAAAGGACAAAGCTTACAACACATGAACCCTCCCAGGACACAGTCAAACCATATTTAAACCATGGCCCTTCCCAAATGCTAATACTATCTTTTCAAATTCACTCTTCTCCTGCGATCAGCAGGCAGTATTGTTTGAAATGCTGATTTTTTCTCTTGAGATCCCTTTAAGTGCTCAATATTATTAGACTGGAAATAATATTTTGTTTTCCAAGATCATTCCAATTTCCTGTTTCTAAAAAGGTAATGTTTGGGGTTTCTTGGTGGTGGTGTAGGTTATGAGGATGTCTTCTTCCTCTTCTTCATCCTTTCCTTCTCCTTCTGTCTTCTTCACCTCCCTCTTTTTTTTTCCTGGTTATTTGAGACAGGGTCTTGTTGGAACTCAATATGTAGACCAGGCCGGCCTTGAACTCACAATCCTCCTGTTCAGTCTTTCTAGTACTGGGATTACAGGTATGAACCATAACACCAGGTTGGTTTCTTCATTTTTTTTTATTCACTTATTCACATGTGCACACATTGTTTGGGTCATTTCTCCCACCCTCTCTCCCCGACTCCCCCTCACTTCCAGGCAGAATCTGTTCTGCCCTTATCTCTAATTTTGTTGAAGAGAAAACATAAGCATAATAAGAAAGACAAAGCATTTTTGCTAGTTGAGTTAAGGATAGCTATACAGAGAGATTCCTAGCATTGCTTCCATGCACAAGTGTATTACAACCCAAACTGATTCATCTCTAACTGATCTTTACACTGGTTCCTGATCCCCTTCTCATGTTGACCTCTGTCACTTTAAGGTTTGGTTTCTTCATTTTTAATTAGCTAAGAAAATGTTCCCTTTTGACTATCAAATCAAATAAAATAAGGTAAAGAGCCAGCTACAACACACAGACAATACATGGAAAAGTTAGCTTGTTATAGAACCCAGCATTATTATTCAGTAAATAATCACCTAATGCATATTTTCTCAGACACTAAGATGAATTTGTTTTTAATGAAATGACCAAAGAACTTATCAGTTGAATTATCTGCCTATGGATTCTTCTTGTTTCATTATTGTGAGTTATGAGAGAGTTGTGATGTTATTCCTTTTTATTAACACCTTCAATGTTATTTCCCATTTTTTAAGGGGCACTGGGGTTTGAACTCAGGACTTCATGCTTGCTAGGCAGGCGCTCTATCACTTGAGCTACATCTTCAACCTAATATGATTCCTTTTTATTAACACCTTCACTCAGCCTGGTTTCTAAGACCTCCTCTAGGGAAGGTATAAAGAATAAAATTCTACACTTCAAGCTCTTACAAGTGTACTTTATGCTGTTTCCTCTCCTGCATCTTAAATGACTACGCCTTCCCTAGAAGAGAATAGAAACTCAGAAAGAACTATGACGACAGTAACATGAGTAACTGTTCTCAGTTACTCATGTCAGAATGATTTTGTTATAATACAGAGAGAGAGAGAGACTGCTTAAAACAGTAACAAGCACTCAATAAACGTTAGCTATCATTGAAAAACTGCATGCATGAAGGGCTCCTTATCCTGCACTGCACTCTTGTGTTCACAGCTCAGGTTCTGCTTTTAAAATTTACTTTGGCACCTTCAGCCCACAATCCTTCTTCCTCCATCTCCTGCAACTCATTTTTTTTTTTTTTACAAACATTGAAATTCAGCCCACTCACCATATCTTCCTAGTGTAATGGGTATACATTAGACTTACCTGAGGAGTTCAGGGGCTTCTCCTTGTTGTTCTGAATGTTTGCTGTTGTTTGTTGGGTTTTTAAAAATATCAATGAATGGGCCATAGTCCTGAAGAGTATCATAAGTTGGGGGTTGGTACCAATAATTTTTTTTTACAAATTTCTCTAATTGAGAACTAATGATATAAAACTTGGCATGTTCTATTGTTAACTGATTTATTATACTAAGAAAGTTATTTTAAATTATGGACCAGAATTTCCAAATAAAGAGATTGATTTATCTAATCACAAAATGATGAAATACTTATCCTTCTACCAAAAGTTTCCACAAGTAAGAAAAGCTATGTTTCTCAGTTTTAGAGGAGATTCCAGTAATGGGTATGAATTTGATCTTAATTATCCCTAATTCTCTGAAGCAATTTAAAGAACCCAACAGAACAATTATAAAATTATAATAACTGACAATTCTATGAGGTTTTACCAGTTCAACCAAAGATATTTTTTATCAAAAGTTATTAATCTGTTAAATAAAATCCTGTATTTGTGCATAGTACCCATTTCAACCAATTCATCATTATGGAGGTTAATTCCTAGTTTGGAGCAAAGCAGAGAAATGTTAAAAAGGAAGAGCATAAACAAAATGGAGTCAGTGTAAGCAGCTATTTTAATGTGTCTAAGATCTTTATCCTCACACCATGGTGCCGGGATCGCAGAGGTCCTTGACCTGAAAGGGCTCAAGAAAGGAATGAACAAGACAGAACGTACAAAAGGACTCACTCACTCAGGGAGGGAATGACAAAACACATACTTAAACATCAAAACACTCTGACCTAGTTACAACCTTTCTGTTTTTACCATCCTGTATTTTTACTGCCAGTGTCCTTGACTAAGTATAAACTTCTTTTCAGTCAAGGGAAACATTTAGCGTTCCCCCCACGGTGATAGAGACATGGTGCACCTGCCGATTCCGACCTTACCGGAATGCTGCGAAGCCACAGTGACCTTGTCAGACTGTGGCTTTTGGTTCCCAACACCATGGGTCTCTCTGTATAGTATATATAAATAAAAATATTTCTGCCATATAAAGAATGTAGCAAGCAGAAGAATTGATATTTAGAAGTGTTAGAAATTCTCCAAACAATAAATAAATATTCAAATAAAAGCTTCAAAGCATATTTTAAAGTTTCTATAGATCATTGCATCGTCCATCAAGAGAGGGAAAGAAAGAGAGAGAAATTGCTTCTTTCATTCAGTGATCAGTACTATGAAGGAGTCTATTGAGATGTTCATAAAAGTAAACACTGCCCCCAAAGCATCAAAATCAAGTTGACTGCAAGGGACATGGGACAAAATTTATCCCTTTCTTCTTTAGCATCAGCCTCAAAAGATTAAAAATGTTTATCTATTTACCTTACCTTTGGGCTCCTATATGGAATAGGCATCCACAAGTTTATACCTTTTTGAAACTTATTTACATTTTCAATCCTTGACATTTTTATATTAACCCCAAACTCACAGTAAGTTAACATACAACGTTCTCCCTTTCTCTCACGCAAAACTGTGTCCAGGCAACTCTCTTGGGCTACAGTCTTCCATACAATTACTCAACAATCAAGGAAGTTCAATTTCTTTTCCTTACTTTTATTTCTTTCTTTTGTGGGGGAGAGGAGAGGTGGGCAGTGAAAAGCAGTGTCTTAATATACAACCCTAAATTTACTATGTGGCCCAGACTAGCCTTGATCTCACAATCCTCTTGCCTCCAGCTCCCAAGTGCTGGAATTCCAGGCCTGGGACACCATACTCAGGTGGAGATTCAAATTTATGGCTTCATGGACTCAACTTGAGGCCAACTTGGTTGTTACAGCAAAAGATATAGTGGGCAAAGTACAATCTAACAACAAGAGGGCTAAAAGACATAGGGAAATAGATAAAAAGCAGCCAGTGTTGTTTTCTGTAAGATTTCTGCCCTCTGATTTAAACAGGATTTCTTTATATTGACCCTACTTTGAGATCAAGTATATAGTATATATAAGTACATAGTATGTAACTCATTTCTTAGCCTCTAGTTAATAATTACTTACTAACATAGCTTCATGACTTTTAAAGATTTTGAGCTTAGACCTCTGGGGTTGCAATATGTTAATAAATGTCCATGACAGACCAACAAAAAATTATTGATTAAAGTTTGCCATATCTTTTACAGATCTTTCCTAATTCCATGTATGTTTCTCTTGGCATACAATAACCTACATACATTTCAGATTCTGCCTATGGTATTATACAGGGCAAAACATTATCTGCTATTTCTTTTCAATAGGAAAATAGCTTTTTTGATGAAGCTATGAATTTTTCAATGTTCTATCTATTAGCAAACACTGGAGCCTCAAGGTTAAATCTAAATAATCCTGTGACCTCATTAACTTGAATCCCATTATCTAACATATGGAGTTGGATAAATTTTCCCTAAAGCAATGTATCTTTCCATGCCAGAGTTCATGTTCTATTTTTCTACTGACTCAGGTAATCTTTTGTGTTCAATCTTTCAGAGAGCAGCCCTGGACTGCACAACAGTAGGATGGGGTTCATGTACTGTTGTTGGAGTAAAGCCTGGAGATAAAGATTTAGATGTTTCTCCAGTGGACCTAATAGTGGGCCGTACTATGAATGGAACATTCTTTGGTGGTTAGTTGTTTTTCTTCACAGTTTTTCATTTTCTTCACATTAGAATGAAATTCTTAGGATTAAGCCTATTAAAAGGAAAGAAAATAATTTGTTTACATATTGAGTGTCTAGATGTGGGGAGCACATTATAAGGAGCCTGTGAGAACTTGACATAAGCACAGCTGTGTCAAATAATCAGCAGGCTGAGTTTGACACCGCCCCAGCCACAGAGGAGGGCAAAATGCAGCACAGCTGAATTTCCCAAGACGTTTACAGCAAAGTAGGATCCCAGGTTTCTCTTGTTACAATGTCATGCCCCTCGGAGAACTGTTGCTCCACCGCCTTGTTTATAAAAGACTCAACTGAAGGAGGATGTGGAGGATTGATGGGGAATTTGGTGTGGAATGGATTGAGGGATTGATTGGCTGACTGAAGGCTGCTTGCGAGAATGATGTTGCTGCTGCTGCTGCTGCTGCTGCCTGTTTGTGTGCCTGCAAGTCTGGGGACTGAGACTTTAAAGGGAACATGGGATGGTGCAAGTCTGAGGGCCAAGACTTTAAGAGAGATTAAAGAAAACATGGGACAGTGTAAGTCTAAGGAAAGAGACTTTAAAGAACAGAAAAGAAGAAAGACTTTAGAAGTAAGGTTTTAAAGATAGAGAAAAGAAGCAAAGTAAAAGAAGAGTTAATAGAGAAAAGAAGCAAAGTTGTTGTGCATCTCCATCCAAGTGCCCAGCACACCTGATCCCAACTTTCTACATGTCTGTCTTTTATCCTTTGTCCTTTCTACATCTCCAGTTGCCCCCAGTTAGGTTAGGAGGACAAGAGCTCACAAGAAAGCTTGCAAGGTCTAGAACTAAATTTATATGTATACAGAAAATTAAAGATGGAGGAGCTTAATGTATTTGAAGCAACTCAAATTTGACCTAATAATTGCATTCACTCAACAAACACACTTAATAAACCACTTCTTCATGTCAAGTGCCATGTTTTTCTTTATTTGGCATTTTGGCCAAATTACAGGTTGGAAAAGTGTAGATTCTGTCCCAAAGCTGGTAAGTGACTACAAGAATAAGAAATTTGATCTGGATGCATTGGTGACCCATAACCTGCCTTTTGATAAAGTCAATGAGGCATTTGACCTAATGGAACAAGGAAAAAGGTAAGTCACCACAAGATGATTGAGGAACTTAGAAAACCTTTGTAATGGGCTTGTGGGGTAGAGTGGTTGCCTAGCAAGTGTGAGGCCCTGAGTTCAAACTCCAGTACCACCAAATATATTTGTATGTATATACAAACATATGTATGTATATATATGTGTGTGTGTTATATATTTATATATATAAGCAGCTTGTCTTTTCTGACTTTCTATATCAGAAGTACTAGATGTGCTTAAAAGATTAAATAGCCATATGGAAAAAAGAAAAGCTTCCATTTCTATAATGCATATTGTTATGTGCCATACAACATAGGTGGTTTCCCTTTCACAAATGTTAACTCAGGTGGTTTGCTCCCTAGAAGAGAAGTTTCTATAGTAGGATGTTAGATCCCTCTAGCACAATGTACCCGAGTCTAGAATCATTACACTATGCAACATGGCATAGAGTGCCTACTCCAGGCCCTACAAGAGAGAACCCCATGAAACCATGGGGATGTGAGCAGAGAACGGCAGTTATCAGATATATAAAGGATGCTTCATTCTTGACATTTTTATATTAACCTCAAGTGTGCAGTAAGTTAACCTACATTGTTCATTCTCACTCTCCCGCTTTATCATGGAGCTCCTACAAGAAACCTGCTGAACCACAATTTTATCTTTATCATGCTCCTTGTCTTAGACTCTAGGAATTGATTTATAGCAAGGTCACTGATTGACCACTAAACTAAGATCGGTGATTTTAGTTAAAATGTTCAATTGCAGCCTTGATCAAGAGAAGCAAGCAGTAAAAACACCAGCAATAATGTTAGAGGAGACACAGGGCAAATTAGAAATTAAAAGAGAAGACATAGCAAAGGAGAACAGGGGAGCCTAAATTAAAGTGAAAATGACAGTTCAAAGCAGACAATGAATGATGCAAAAAAAGAAAACAGGTGTATGGTTTGAGGACACAGATTATTTCATAGGGAATAAATCCGAGAAAACATCCAAACTGACATAAATTCCCCAATTTGTAAACATGTTAACCACAACATACCACAAAAATTTTCAATTTAAAAAAAGATTTTTTAAAAGTTATACCATATAAACTTAGGGTATAAGCCCTATAATGTACACAATCTCAATATGCCCATAATGAGTATTCAAATTAGGAGGTGGAAGCCTTAGAACCTGGGGCTTGTAGCTCCTCTACCACAATCCCTCTCCCCTAAAGTTCTCATTCATAGAATATACCCACAGGGAATGCTAAGTGGTATCCAAATGGAAAATGTCACATTGATTTATTAGCAGGGGGCATGTCTCCCATACTCAACAACGAGGCTTCCCTAAGTGATCAGTGGTAGAGCAGACGCTAGATGTACACACTAAGTCAGGCTTCCTACTCCCTCACTGGCCTTCTAAGGAAACCACCTGACTGTCCACACAGATGGAAAGGTGGCATGAGGATGGGTAGAAGATGATCTACCCAGATATGCTCACCACCTGGGTACAGGCCCTCCTAACATACCAACTGCACAGAAGCAAGGGAGTGGATGAAGGGAATGGGACACAATGACTGACAAGCTTGTTAAAGTGCAGTGACCCTGCGCTATTGTGAGGAAAGGACACAGAGGTTCTCCTTTCATATATAGATGTAGCTTCCTATTTCTAGGTTAAGAAAAATTTTAGGCATGGCACACTGATGTCAAGACTTCTACACCTCTTGCAGTAATGTGTGAGATAAGGAGTCCTCTGTCCTTGAGGCTTAGCCCCTTCTTTGTTTCTATACATTAGAGTTTAGGCAGGATTGAAAACTATGGTTCTCAGAAAGTAGCATCCCATCACACCAACCTCCTCTGATGCCCAACTTTGCCCTTGACAAGAAGCAAGTCAAGAGCAGTGATTATTCTGATACTCTCCTCTCCCTTGGTATATTCTACTTATCAGTAGCACCAATGGGCAACAAGGATGATTTTCCCTGTTTTGTTAGCACTATCTATAAAATATTAATGCCATGAAAAGGAGAGGATGTAGCAAAGTGTCTATGAAGAAAGATTAGATCAAATCCTGAAATGGATAAAAGTTATTTGTGAACTTTCAATTAATTTTTCATGCACATTGTATTTATTATTGTTTTATTATTATTAAACAGCATCCGAACAATCCTGACCTTTTGAAGATGCCAGGAGCAATTTGGAATATCTGATTGAATGTGAACTTCTCTGGTTAATTTATTACCTGCTATGATGAAGCAAAGAAAACTATGAGTTTTAAACTAAACAAAGATTTACTGAAAATAACTAAAATAGCTATAATTGATATAGCATCTGTACTCATAAAATATATTCAGACTTCCTATATTAAATAACTATGATAACTGAAGTGTTTGAAAATAGAATCACATGATTCTTAGTAGGAATTGTTTAAAACTAGTTCTGGAGATTGGGAATGGAGAATGGGGAATAATAGATGAAATTAGATTGGCCATATGTTTATAATTTTTTAAGCTAGATGATGAATATATGTAGTTTCATAATAATTTTACTTTTGTCTATGTTGAAAATTTGTCACAATAAAAATACTTTTTCTGGGAAGACTGCTATGTTTATTGTATCCACATAGAAAATATTATTATATAAATTTTATGCTTTAATAAGCTACAACTTATAATATGTATGATATATATTTTTAAAGATTTGAATGGCAGTCTATTATCTCTGATTGTAAAGAATTTCTCTAGAATTATGTCATCTTTTCACTCTAATTCTCTTGTCCAAAAATTAAAGATCTGTTAAGACACATATGTCATTGACCTTCAAGATATTAAAACTATTAAATTTTCAGGGGAAAAAAAAGTATATTCTCCAACATAAGGCACACAGGTTTTTTTAAAAATGGTTTTTGGATCTGAAATTACTACAAATCTTTGAGAATGCCAGTTAATAGGGTGCACAATACTTGAATTTAGAAGGCAATACAATCATAGTACTGTATGCTTCTGAGGACAAAAAGGTTTTATATCCTTCATAGTCCTTCAAGCACCTTAGACTGTCAGTCTTCAAAAATGCTACTACAGTGCCCTCTGGTGTTCCCTTTTCATTTTTCTATCTCTGACGTGCTAGTAAAGAATTTAGGAAGACAGAATAGCGACTGCAAATCAAAAGCACACTAAGATTCCACCTCACCCCTGTTAGAATAGCCATCATTAAAAACACCATTAACAACAGGTGTTGGCAAGAATGTGGGGGAAAAGGAACCCTCATACACTGCTGGTGGGAATGCAAACTAGTGCAACCACTCTGAAAAAAATTTTGGAGGCTTCTGAAAAATCTAAATATACATCTGCCATATGAGCCAGAAATCGCTCTCCTGGGGATATACCCAAAGGAATGTGACACAGGTTACTCCAGAGGCACCTGCACACCCATGTGTATTGCAGCACTAGTCACAATAGCCAATTATGGAAACAGCCAAGATGCCCCACTACTGACGGATAGATTAAGAAAACGTGGTATTTACACACAACGGAATTTTACTCAGCATGAAGAAGAATGAAATCTTATCATTCACAAGTAAATGGATGGAACTGGAGAACATCATTCTGAGCAAGGTCAGCCAGGCTCAGAAGACCAAAAATTGTATGTTCTCCCTCATATGCAGACTTTAGATCTAGGGTAAATTCAGCAGTGTGGTTGGACTTGGATCACATGATAAGGGGAGAGCACATACAGGAGGTATGTATATTAGTTCCTCTCCACTGCAGAGGAACTAATACAGAAACCTTAAAGGGACAGAGGTCAATATGAGAAGGGGATCAGGAACTACTGAAAAGGTCAGTTAGAGATGAATCAACTTGGGTTGTAACACATTAGTACATGGAAGCAATGCTAGGAATCTCTCTAGGAGAGATTTTTGCTAGGAATCAACTAGCAAAAACACTTTGTCTTTCTTATTATTGCTTACACTTTCTCTTCAACAAAATTAGAGATAAGGGCAGAACAGATTCTTCCTGGAAGCAAGGGAGGTGGGGGGAGAGGGAGGGGACTGGGAGTAGGAAGGAGAAATGGCCCAAACAATGTATGCACATATGAATATATATATATATGATATATATATATATATGAATATATATATATATGAATATATATATATATGAATATATATATATATTCTGAATTTGACATCTCTTAGTGTAACTTAAACTCAATATTCCATATGTAGCCTGAATAATTACCTATTCAGAATAAAGTACTAGTAAATGTTGTCTGTTTCTTTTTTGTAGCTCTATCCCAATGCTGATATTGACCTTTATAAAAATCTCTAAATACTTCCTCTCAGAAATACTATTAAACCAGACTGCTCTTATTCTATAACTGTAAGCTCAAGACTAGATCAGTTTTTGTCTCTGAAATTTCAAGTTCTTTTTGGAAATTGTAAACAAGACGTTTAATAATGTAGAAGAACATTGTATTGCATTTTATTGCTATTGGGACACATTATATTCCTTCCTCCATTTCTGCCAATAAAAATCTGTTGAATTTGTTCTTACAATGTAGCTAACAAAATTTCATAACCTAGTCTTAAAAATTAAAGATGTTAGCCAGGCATGGTGCTCACATCTGTAATTGCAACTATGCAGGAGGTGGAGATTGGAAGGACCATGGTTGAAGGCCAGCCTGAGCAAAAGGATAGCAAAACCCCATCTCAACAAACAAGTCAGGTGCAGTGGTACACATCTGCAATATCAGCTATGCAGGAGGCATAGGTAGGAGGATCATGGTTCAAGTACAGCCTGGGCAAAAACCATGAGACCCTATCTAAAAAGTAACCAAAGCAAAAAGGGTTGGCAGACATGACTTAAGTGGTAGAGTATTTGTCTAGCAAGCACAAGGTTCTGAGTTCAAACCCCAGTACTAACAAAAAAAGAAAAAAACTAAAGACATATAATTAAACAAAAGGAGTCAGAAAGAGATGCCCCTTCCTCTGGCAGCTATGGAAAGAGAAATGCAATTCTACATCATAAGCTACTTCAAAACTTTTGATTTGATAAGATATTCAGAAATTTGCCAAGAAAATCAATTTGTTCTTTGCAATATAGACACATGAATATTCATGACTATTACTAGAAAGTCTTCTGTTTGTTAAAAAGAAATTTCTTCTCTTAACATAGATGTTATTCCAACCAAAAGGCCTTCTAAAATTCCAAAGGCTTTAAAAAAGGGTGCATTATCCTTTGAAAATAACCTACATAAGGAATGTAATTCTCATTGTCTTACTGATAAGGTTTTGACATAGAATGTTCCAATAGACATTTCTGAATTTCTAAGCAGTATTTTGATTTTCTGCAAGATTAAAGGCAGATTATTAGTGCTTTTCTTTTTTCACATATGCATAACAGAATAAGTAAAACTTAAGCCTGTATTATATTTACTTTTTTGAGTCTGAGAGTCTGAGATTTAGATTAATAAATCCATGAGTGATGACTCAAGCAGAAGCATGGGGGGAGCAGGAAACAACTCTATAAACAGAATAAGTGTCGATTCCAGTGAAGTCAAATTTCTGCCTCCTCCATGATGGAAGGGCCCCAGTGGAATCAACCTGTCACAGAGCAGTTGCCTCCTTGGGGATCCAGGGTTGGCGATGCAGAGTGGCAGAGCTGAACAGCCTTGGTAAGGGAACGTCCATGCTGTTGGACCTGTGCTCACCTCCACAGGCACTACACTTACAAGGGAAGCACTTAGAAGCCAGTATGATATCCCCAATGTGGCTCATTTTGTTCACCTAATTACTGCCAGTGTTTTCCAATTAAACATTTTGGTGAGAATCACATGGGACATGAATTTTCTCAAACTAAGTGACCATTATGAAAGGTTTATCTACATATTTATTCTCCAGTTTTCCTTATTACCAATCTGAAGGAACATTCTGTTCCTTCAGAGGCCCCAGTCATCAGATGAAATGATTAATTGATACCCATTAATCAAAGTAGATCCTTCTCTCAGGCCATTTCACTCCTGTCAAAGAGGACTTTCAGAGATATAATGCTTGACATTTTATATCTTGGCAAATTTCCTAAGTCTACCATATCAACTACCAGGATATTGTACACAGCATTTGTAAACCAAGCTGGAATTCTCTTCTTCCTTTATTAACTGCTCATAGGAAGTCTCCCCATGAAGTAGAAGTGGAGTCATGAGCTAACTTCTCAGACAAAATTCTGGACCTTAGGTACTGCTTGAGTTCAGTCTTATATAATGTTATATTTTTGGACACATCCAGCCTTGTAGGTCTTTGGACAAGACAATATCAAGTTGGATATTATCATGTAAAGATGCAACAGGCTAGAGTTGCAGCAGCTGCCTTGTAATCACTATGGGAATGATAAGAAAATGGCAAAGAAGCTGGTGTCATAGAGCATCAGAACTTACAAATCTCCCTGCTCCACACACACACACAAGGTTTTGGTTATGTGATGTCATAAACCTATATTTTTTAACCCTCTTTTACTCAAATATTCTATATTTTCAGGCAAAATAATCTAATTGATACACATATGGTATCCCCTTTGCCACCACCAAATTCATGGTTGATCAGTTTTGCCAAGATGATCCTGCTGCCTGTCAGTGATAGTGCCCACCTTGCATTTCTTGCCTCACTGGCTGGTCTCTACCACCCCAGTATCTGGTATCCTGGTCAAAATCAGGTAATGCATCACAACTATAGCCCCCCACCACCACCACCACCAATCTATAAGGGAAAGTAAATGACAGCATTCCCCTTCAACAATGGCTTTCCCAATACTTTAGTGAAAGGTTTACTTTTTATTTTTTTACACTCTCTCAAGCAATGTAGAAAATGGATGAGGTAAGCAGGTAGCAGATGATTGTCTCCAATATTCCACCAAAAGAAGTAGCTGGCATTTCAACTTCATCTAACAGTGATTATTTTGAGCTTGGGTTTCTGTCTATAAGTATGAAAAGTTATTTTAACCATTCTTGTGTATTAGAGCAGTAAGGAGACCAAAGTTCCTTTATCATAATTTTAGCCTTATCTAAAATTGTGTTCTCAGAGGATCCAAGATGGTGACCAGAACACAGCCACAGACCTTCTGACCTCCATGATCCAGGGACTTTGATGAGAACCTGGAGACATGCTTGACTGAGATAAAGCACCAGGGAGAGCTGAAACATCAGCTCTGAACCCCTAGCTC